AAAAAAAAAAAAAAAAAAAGAGACTTCTAGGAATGGAAATTGTAGAGTCAGGAAAACGAGCAGAAAATGTGAACAAGGCAGTGCACGGGGGAGATACAAATGCAGAATCAACAACTGGGACCTTCTGATCATCAGAAATACTGCCTTTTTAAAATTTTTTATTTATTTATTTTTTTGAGACAGAGTCTTGCTCTGTCATCCAGGCTGGAGTGCAGTGGTGAAATCTTAGTTCACTGCAACCTCCACTTCCCAGGTTCAAGAGATTCTCCTGCTCAGCCTCCCGAGTAGCTGAGATTACAGGCACGTACCACCACATCTAGCTAATTTTTGTGTTTTTAGTAGAGACAGGGTTTCACCATTTCAGCCAGGCTGGTCCTCAGACTCCTGGCCTCAAGTGATCCACCCACCTTGGCCTCCCAAAGTGCTGGGATTGCAAGCATGAGCCACCCCACCCACCTCAGCCTCCCAAAGACATGGTGAAACCCCATCTCTACTAAAAATACAAACATTAGCTGGGGATTATATGACGTGTGCCTGTAATCCCAGCTACTTGGGAGACTGAGGCAAGCTAGAACCAGGGAGTCAGGTTGCAGTGATCCGAGATTGTGCCACTGCACTCCAGCCTGGCCACAGAGCAGGACTCCATCTCAAAAATCAATAAAATCTCAATTGGAGAGCCTAAAACCCAGGCACACACACCAGGCACAGTGGCTCAGCCCTGTAATCCCAGCACTTTGGGAGGCCAAGGTGGGCCTCCCTTGTGGGATCACAGGTCAAGAGATCAACACCGTCCTGGCCAACATGGTGAAACTGTCTCTACTAAAAACACAAAAATTGATCTAATACTAACGGTGGAGTGTTAAAAAAAACACACACATAAAAATTAGCTGGGTGTGGTGGTGTGCACCTGTAGTCCCAGCTATTTGGGAGGCTGAGGCAGGAGAGTCGCTTGAACCCGGGAGGTAGAGGTTGCAGTGAGCCAAGATCATTGCCACTGCACTCCAGCCTGGCAACAGAGCAAGACTCTATCTCAAAAAGAAAAGCCCCGGCACGCAGAAAACTGAAGTAGTATGTAGGGATAGTTGTGGGCCCCGCCCTGTGGGGATATTGGCTCAGCTGGGTTGGGCCTGCCACCCTCACGTGGGATCCCTGGAATCGCACAGCGTCGCCTTCCCTGTCCAGCATCACCCTCTGGGTGGTGTGTTTTCATGACCCAGCCTTGCTGGAGCAGGTGTTGGTGCTCCTGTCCTTGCTGTGGCTGCAGACTTCCCGTCATCTTTATCCATTCATTCATGGATTTGGTGGTTTTTGCCTCTTAGCTGTCAGGAGTAGCGCTGCCATGAACGTTCAGGTGTAAGTTCTGTGTGGACACGTACTTCCGTTTCTCCTGGGTAGGTAGTTAGAAGTGGAGTCGCTGGTCACGGGAACTCTGCTTGCCTCTCAGCTGCCACTCTGGTGGCTTAACAGAGTGGCCGCAGCGTTTCGAGTTCCACCGGCCATATAGGAGGGTCTGGTCTCCGCAGCCTTAGCAGTGCTGCATGTTGTGTCTTGTGGGTCCTAGACCTCCTCGTGGGTAGGAAGCAGGCCTAGTGGTGGTTTTAATCTGCGGTTTCCGCGTGGCTCACGACATCCAAGCATCTCTTTGCATGCTGTTGGATATCTTCTTTGAGAAAATGTCTGCTGAGATTCCTTGCCCATTGGGCCACTTATCTTTTCATTACTGAGTTTTAAGAAATAAATTCCTTTCACTTAAGAAATGAAGGAAGGGCCGGATGCGGTGGCTCACACCTGTAATCCCAGCACTTTGGGAGGCCGAGACGGGTGGATCACGAGGTCAAGAGATCGAGACCATCCTGGTCAACATGGTGAAACCCCGTCTCTACTAAAAACACAAAAATTAGCTGGGCATGGTGGCACA